CGCTGATCATTTTAATTTTCGTTTTGGATCCAGACACTCCACACATCTTCATGCTAGCCCCAAGTTTATCTGTCAAGATCAGTCATAAGGCAGCTTCTACCTACTTATAAAGCGGTTTGGTGGCTGACAGCCAGTTTTGGCATGCTGGCTGTATATAAGAGGTTTTGAACCATTTATAAATTTTATTTAATGTACCTGGCCAGCCCAAACGGTCCAGAGTGGATCGGGTTCTGAACTTCTTGGAATATTCCTTCTATATGATTATCACGACCTGAAGGCGATGTCTAATGCTTGAATTCTGAAGGCATAGCTTTTTTGATCTTATTACCGAACTATAGCTCAAGGCCTTCGGCAATGATGATATTTGTGAGTCGATTTTTGTCACCTTTCTTTGGGGCAGGCCAGTACTGAACTATATTGCTGTATTGTTGGAATATCCCAGGGAGATTATCGGAACGTGCAGTTAGATTAATAGAAGTTAATGCTACAAGTCTAGCTAGCGATTTTATATTAGCTTTAGCCTAATGATGAGTATTTTGAGCCTCCATCCAATAACTGGTTTAACCCTATTTAATCCACCTGATCGGAAACATCGCTAATTAGATGTGACTCAGTCCTTAATGCTATGGCTTGTTCATCATTAGCATAGGCCTGCGCGAGAACTTCGTGCATCGAAAACGCTTATGGCCTTCCGCCTATGTTTAAATAATGTATCTAGCGAACTCAAGATTTCATCTTAATTGCTAATTTAATTCCTCCAACTATCATACCGGTTAGTTGCGTAACCATGCGGAAGGTCATCGATAACTCCCTCAGTCATTTGTATGGTGAAATCCAGAAGTGCGCCAAAAGTACAAAACTATCTATCCTTATTTTTAAGTAATTTTAGCAGAACTTGACCAATTAGTGCTTCCGGAATATTAAAAACTCCCAAGATTTTCCACTAGTCCTATGAGTAATCAAGGAACTATTTTTGCCACCCGCAAATCTAGCGCTCACACAGTAGGCGAAAATTCTGAGATGTCTACTTGTGCATGAAGATTATGCACACTACATTACGGGCCTAGTCCTTTTGGCGTTCATCTCCCATCCGTATATATGATCAGTTTTCAACGGGTAATATTCTCTTCGTGGAAGCACACACCAGTGTACATTACAACCTGTATCTAAGTTATAGGTTGCCCTAAGTAGTTTTTGTAATTGCAGCACTCGATTTCTATTCCTTTTCTTCTATCTACCGCCCAATCAGCTGGCATCTCCATCTCTTGTATGGAGCTAGAGTCAAGAGTACAGGCCTGGCTTTCGAAACGGCTTCGCGAAGCCAACCCTTCTGACGGCAACATTCTCGGTGATTTCAAAGCTCGCCCAACCGTTGATCGTATATCTCCCGTTACCACAACCTCTACTTCATCACTTCCAGCTTCTCTAAATAAGCCTAACTCTCAACTGCCGGAGGCTCCTTGGGACCGTTTCACTGGAGGTGGCTTTGCAGCCACTGACTTTGACCTCGCGCATGATGCAATGAAGGCTATGGATATGCTAGTTCGCCTTGAACTAGCGGACATCACGAATGCTTCTATAGAATCTAACGGGCAAATACAACAATCGAATGAACGACGATGCCGAGTTGTCCCCTTAGTGATAGCTCTGGAACGCCAGCGCCTCAATCTCCACCAAGCAATCGGTGGTAGCAAAGAATCATCCGCTGATTTGACTGCATTATGGCGATCGGACCCGTGGTC